AATTAAAAAAATTCCTACCTACTGAAAATATTAGGTGTGTCCCGCGCGCTCATATGACCTTATGCAGTTGCGAGAGCCGTAAAACACTTTACAAAAACAAAAATACATTGTCATGAAATTTCCGTCCTACGCACAGTGATCTAAATCTAACAGAGAACTCATACATGCATACAGTTTTATTAAATCTACTGGTGCGCGATGGAGGATTTCCTCAAAATGTATGGACTAGATTACGCCCAGATTCAGTATACGTGTTGGGCCTACTTTGCTTGCGACATTTCAATTGATTGATTGATCATGAATGTTTTATCTCCCTTTGGAACTTTTCACATCATTTAGATTTAGGACATTTAGAAGGTGGGCTGCTTCGACCCTGCCTTTAAGGCCAAGCTGAAGGGAAATATACCTGTATAGTATCCAGCAGAAAGAAAAAAATGTTCGATAAAATAAGAGTTCCCACTTGGAAATGAGAATGACGTTAATGACAATAACATTGAAATTCTCTATTCATCTCTCGGGGAGAAATTTGTAGGCCTATAGGTCGTTTACAATAGCAGTGGTGTTACAAAAGTCAGATGCACCCACATACACACAACAATGAACAACACAAATGCATTATTGCGTACTAAAACACCTCCTCTCCTCTCCTCTCCTCTCTCTCTCTCTCTCTCTCTCTCTCTCTCTCTCTCTCTCTCTCTCTCTTTCTCTCTCTCTCTGTTTCTCTCTCTATTTCATATATAGCACTCTGGGTTCAATAACCCCACTGCAGTTGGTTCAAATGAATTTCTGTAAATATCTGTTTGTTCTTGTTTTCTTGGAAGTACATGTAGACCTAGTTGTTTACTTGGCAGTACAATTGGACTGGCAGTACAACGAGGATTTCAATTTTTCAATTTGCTGTCCTCATGTTATTAAGTTATCGGGCTGATATCTGGCAGCACCAGATGTTTTGCGGTACAAAGAGGTTTGACGTTGTACCTACTGTTTCTGTCATGTTTTTTTGTAGAAAAATAACCCCACTCGTCTCGACCTGGTGTATCTTTTCGAGAGACTGTTCAAGAAAATTCAAGGTGACTTGTACTTTTTTTTGAAAATTTATTAATGTATATCTGAATGTCGTCAATTTCTGTCTCACCAGTTTCGGATCACATCAATCGTAAAAGAATAATTTTTTACAGTTCAATATCATTGTACCGGTATATTTAAATATGCCTCAGTACGAGTGCTTATGAAAAAGATTAAGGAATTTGTATCTTAGACTGAAGAGTCCAAAGTATAACATGTAGGCGTGGATGGTAGGCCTAAAACAGCTACAGTTGTGTAGGCAGGGCCTCCGATTTAAACGACATTCATCAGAGACAGGCTTTGGATAACAGTGTTTACATCTCTGGGTAAAAAAAAGAGAAAAAATAGGTCTAGTAAAGACCCAGGGTTTTGGCCACATGACCACATAACACACACAC